ATCTTAGTCTTTATCAGAGCTTAGTGATCTTCAGCAGAGAGATGCCGTGCTGGTGTTCTGCAGGCAGGAGAAGTGACAGAGTGAGAGTAAATGGGTCCCTGATAGAACGTGCACGCTCCCCACTGCCTGCTCCTCCAGCCTAATATAAGGCTGATCTCGTGCCTCTCAACACCACAAGTGTAGAGACTGCCAATTCACCAACGCTCTCATTTCTCGAGCTCTCATGCTTGTTAGGAGAGCCAAATCCCTCTCCATGTCCTTTTCACCAAGGTGTTCCATTATTGAGCTATTTCTTATAACTCTCACTCCTCCTAGCCATAGGCTAGACAGGCTGCTACAAACACCTCAGTTCTTATCTTCTTGTGATCCAAGAATGAAAGTAAGAGACAGTTTTAAAGTAGGAAACAGTAAAGTTTATTAAGGCAAAAGTTCACTCTTAAAGGGATTAAGAGTGGGCACTCGTCCCAGCAGACAGTGACACTGGAGTTTCTGTGTCATCCCTTTTTCTCTTGCCTGGCCTCTCTAATCTTCATAACAGTATCTCTTCTTTCTATTCTTGACTAGTGGGGGTGTTATCTCCTTCCCTATGTCAAGGGGAGTGGGGAGTTTTTTACCTTAGATGGTCAAGGCTGGATGTTTTGTGTTGTAGTGTCTGAAGCCCCCAGGGATGGGGGGAACAAACCATAAGGTTGTATTTTATGATACTTGTAGCTACTCTTACCTTGTTGTTGTTGCAGTAGGTTCTTTTACTCAGCCTGCCATGGGTTTACCTCCTTTGCTTTCCTGTTTTCTCCCTTTACATCTCACCCTTCCTGCACTACTAGTTTTGTGACATTTGTGATTACCCTTATCTCAGGTTGTGTTTTTTTACTCAGTATGGGGCCCATTTGTGCTTTCTTTGCTCAGGTCTCACTTTCCTACCTATGCCAACAGGTTCCAACATGTGTCTGCCACCATTTTAAGAGCTGGGCAACTCCGCACCAATCCTTTCCTCACTCTGGGCCTCCCAGTCCTCTCTGTAAAATGAGGAGTTGATCTAGCTGGTTCCCAAACTCAGATGACTATAGGGACCAGGTATCGGGTGCTCTTCAGCTTCAGGCCACCATCACTGTGCAAGACAGTGTCACCAGATCTAATGACTTTTCTAGAGAAACTAGAAATCCAGAGTTTTGCAAAAAATTCAAACGTCCTAGTAATATCGTATGGGCCAAATTCTATCTGTGGGCTGCCATTCTGTAACCTATGCCCCACCTCCCCTTCTAGGTTGTATGGCTCTGTGGTTCTTCTGGAGCAGTGGTTCTCGCAGTACTGGCATCTCCTATTCCTATCCCAGAGCTACTCAATTGGAAATCTGAGGGTGGGATCCAGCAGTCTGTTTTACCAGGCCCTCCTGATGATTGTCATGTCCATTTTGAGAACTGCTGGCATTGGCTTATGGCCAAAAAAAGAAAAAGAAAAAATCAATCAGTAGTTTGCTGTTAAATGATTAACAACCAGCTGTCCAGGAAAACAAAGCCTTGATTTGTAGCATTTGCTAACTTCCATGGTACAACTTTGTTGAACGTCAGATAGACAAATACAGAACCTGTGAAAAGACAGAACAAGAATTTCATTGTATAGGAATACAGCAAAATGTGTTTATCCATTATTAATGAATATTTGGTAGTTTCCAGTTTGGAATATTATGGATATTCTTGTATTACTTCTATGATCATTTTGATCATTCTAGCACTTTTTTTGTGGGGGGGCATACAATGTACTTCTGTTGATTCTACGCCTAGAAGTGGAATTGTAACCTACTGCATTTGTGTGGTCAGCTTTATTGGACAATGCCATGCAGCTTAATATAGTTTGTGCCCATCTATCCACCAGTAGTGTTCAAGAGTCTCCTTACTTCAGTCTCCAACACTTGGTGTTTTCCTTTATTTAGATGAGCCACTTAGCCATCAAATGTATTTTTTTATTTTTTTGCAGTTTTTGGCCAGGGCCAGGTTTGAACCCACCACCTCCGGTATATGGGGCCAGCGCCCTACTCCTTTGAGCCACAAGGGCCGCCCCAAATGTATTGTTTTAATTTTGATTTCCCCAATGACTAATTAAATGGAGCACTTTTCATATGCTTCTTGGACACCTGAAAGTCTTCTCTTATGAAATGTCTATTCAAGTTCTTTTGCCCATTTTCTATTATGATGGTCTTTTTCTTATGGATTTGTAGAAATTCTTTGTATATTCTGGATATGAGTCCTTTGTCAGATATATGTAGTGTAAATACTGTATCTTCTCCCTTTTGGTAGATTATCTTGTTGTTTTTTTTTTTTAAAGATGTCTTTTGATAAAAAGAAGTCCTTAATTTTATTTTTTTTTTAATTTAATTTAATTTTTTTTGGAGACAGAATCTTACTCTGTTGTCTAGGCTAGAGTGCCATTGCATTAGCCTAGCTGACAGCAACCTCAAACTCCTGGGCTAAAGTGATCCTTCTGCCTCAGCCTCCTGAGTAGCTGGGACTATAGGCACCTGCCACAATGCTGGGCTAATATAGACAAGGTCTCATTCTTCTGAGGCTGGTCTCAAACTCCTGAGCTCAAGCAATCCTCCCACCTCAGCTTCCCATAAGATTACAGGCATGAGCCACTATGCCCAACTAGAAGTTCTTAATTTTAATATAGTCCAATATTATCATTGGTCCCTTCTTATTTAGTTCTCTTCTGTCTTATTCAAGAATTTCTTTTTTTTTTTTGAGACAGAGCCTCAAGCTATCCCCCTGGGTAGAGTGCCATGGCATCATGCTCACAGCAACCTCCAACTCCTGGGCTCAAGCGAGTCTCCTGCCTCAGCCTCCCAAGTAGCTGGGACTACAGGCACCCGCCACAATGCCTGGCCATTTTTTGGTTGCAGCCATCATTGTTGTTTGGCGGGCCCGGGCTGGATTCGAACCCGCCACCTTAGGTGTATGTGGCTGGTGCCTTAGCCTCTTGAGCCACAGGCGCCGAGCCATTCAAGAATTTTTGTAAGGTCATGCAGATGTCACCCTGTTCTTTCTTCTAAAAATCACTTGTAATTAGATCAATAAGTTGAGCTCAATTTTTCACTCATTCAACAAACATTTCCCTGAGCTTTGCATAACCTGAGTTGTGTTTAACACTGTGAGCCCAGCCTGGGATCTGAGATTAAGATAAACCAAAAGGGCAGGGTGTGGTGGTTTATGCTTGTAATCCTAGCATTCTGGGAGGCCGAGGTGGGTAGATGGCCCGAACTTATGAGTTCCATCCAGACCAGGCTGAGCAAAAGCAAGACCCTGTCTCTAAAAATAAGCAGGAGTTCTGGCCGGCACCTTTAGTCTCAGCTACTCAGGAGGCTAAGGAAAGAGAATCACTTGAGCCCATGAGCTTGAGGTTGCTGTGAGGTATGACACCACAGCACTCTACCCAGGGCGACAAAGTGAAACTCTGTCTCTAAAAAAAAAAGATAAGCCACCTTTTCCTATCCCCCACCACATGTCTGCATGTCTGCATGGCTTTGGGGGAAAATGACAAGGAATGTACCAGCCGGGGAAATATTCTCCTCATGGCAGCGGCACTGCGGACACCAGAGGACCTCTGCAGCCTGATGCCAAGTGACCACCTCTGCTTTGTCATTTCTAGAACTGGGAACCAGGTGCCCATCACCTTCCAGGCCCTTGGCATGGTCTGGTGTCTGGCGTCTAGTCTGGTGACTGGTCTCCTGACAGGTCAGTATGATATCACCCTTCTTCCACCATTTCAAAAGACACAGCACCCAGGTCCAGGGAGAACCCTGTCTTATGGGTAGGTGTGTATGTGCCCACCCTTCCCAGTGAACCCACCTCCCTCAGCTCTAGCCCAATGATGCAAAGAGCTCAAACCTTAATTTATTATTTTTAATATGTTCTATGTTTTTATTAATTTTGGTAATTGGAAAATGTAATTTTTTTATTATTTGGGATTCATTGAAGGTAGTGTATAAAGAATTAGGTTACATTGATTGCATTCGTTAAGTAAAGTCCCTATTATAATTGTGTTCCACCCCCCAGGAGGTGTGCCAGATACCATCACTCCCATTCTCCTCCCTCCTCCCCTCTCCCCAGTCCCTCATTCCCCTACCCCCCACCTTGTATTAGCTCATCTACTGCTTTAGAATTTAATACACTGGATTCTTGCTTCTCCATTCTTGTGATGCTTAGAAGAATGCGTTCCAACTCAATCCAGTCGATTTAAAAGAATCATAGACTCACATAATTTCAGAATTGGAAAGGCTTTTAGAGGTCACTTGTTGCTGATGTGGACTCTGTGGCCAGACAAGGGACTTCTCTGAGGTTATAAGTAAGGTGAATGGCAACGTTGCAGCCTCTTAAACTCAGGGCTGGTGATCACACTCAATTTAGTACAGAAAGCCCAAGAAACCCTTATACCCTATCCTCAGGGAATCCTGAGGACCTATCCTTTATTCCCTGAGGATACTCATCATAGTATTTTGTAAAACAAATATTATTTAATATCTACTATGAAATAGGCACTAAAGACATAGCAGTGAGCAAAACAAATTCCCTGGCCTCATGGAACTGATGTTTCAGTGGGGGAGGGTATTGACCATAACTGGACATATAAACATATATACTATGTCGGATGGTGACACGTGCTGAGGACAAAGCATGGCAGGGGAATAGTTGGTGCAGTGAAAGGTGTTCCTTTAGGGCAGCGGTTCTCAACCTGTGGGTCGCAACTCCTTTTTAACGATGAAAATACATCGCAGCATTAGGAAGGTTGAGACCCACTGCTTTAGAGGGTTCGTCTGGAAAGACTTATCTAAGAAGTCAGCACATAGGCAGCAACTCAAATGGAGAGGAAGGAGACACACCATGCATTTACTCAGGGGAAGAGCAGTCCAAGAAACTAGGGCAGCAAGTGCAAAGGCCCTGAGGCAGGAACATGCTTTGCATGTTTAGGGATCTGCAGGAAGACCAGTGTGGCTGATGTGAATATGGACTGAGGTGAGAGCAACAGGGATCAGGTGAAGAATGTGGCAAGGAGCCCGCCATTATGAGAGCTGAGGAGCCTCTGGGGATCTGGAAACAAAGGAGTGAAGTATGTTTCCACTCCTGTAATATGATGCAATAGCAAAAATATTGGGGAGTTACAAATTAGCCAGTCTTATATGCCAGGTGAAAATATGTATTCTGTTCAGAACTATTCACTGTTATTCTATACACAAACACCTTTTATTGGTTAGACACCCATATATTGTGGCCCTAAGCAGGGGGTAGATGCCAAGTAAGAGACCGAATGGCATAGAGACACTAATGAGTTGTGTGACATTGGGTGTATTGCTATACTCTCTCTGGGCCTTGCAACCACTTCTCTATGAAATTCTCTTGTAAGAGTTACAGAACTCTGGAAACTGAAAATAAATGAATGAATGAATACATAAATAAATAAATGCCAAATGTATAAAGGCTGTTTATTTAAAATACTCATTTAAAAAACTATAGAATTCTTACATTCTTAAAACTGAACAGAGGAAAGACACCCATCTTATTCCTTTAAGAGTTAAGACTAAGAGTTTTCCTTTTTACATGTCACTTTGGACATTAGGGAACTGGTGATTAAAAACAACTTGGATGGGCCGAGTGCGGTAGCTCATGCCTGTAATCTTGGCACTTTAGGAGGCTGAGGCAGGTGGATTGCCTGAGGTCACAGGTTTGAGACCAGCCTGAGCATATGTGAGACCCTCCCACCCCCATCTCTAAAAAAATAGCCAGGCATTGTGACAGGTGCCTGTAGTCCCAGCTACTTGGAAGCTGAGACAAGAGAATCCCTTGAGCCCAAGAGTTTAAGGTTGCTGTGAGCTATGACACCACCACACTCTACTGAGGGCTACAAAGTGAGACTCTGGGTCAAAAAGAAACAAAAACAGGGTGGCGCCTTTGGCTCAAGGAGTGGGGCACCAGCCCCATATACTGGAGGTGGTGGGTTCAAACCCAGCCCTGGCCAAAAACTGCAAAAAAAAAAAAAAAAGCAAATATCCTTTCCCATTGTGTAGGTTGTCTGTTTGCTTTGGTTGTTGTCTCCTTAGCTGTACAGAAGCTCTTTAAAAAAATAAAATAAAATAAAGTAAACTTGGATAAGGGAAAGGGAAAACATCTCCCAAGCAGCCAAAATAGCCTGAATTGAGCCTCCAAAACCCAACATGTGACTTATTAATAGACCTCCCTATTCAGATCCTGTCTGTACTTATTTAAGAAACAATACTATCCCAATCTGAGCAAAATAGAGAATGTGTCTCTACTAAAAATAGAAAAACTAGCCAGGCATAGTAGGCACCTATAGTCCCAGCTACGGGAGGCTGAGGTAAGAGGATCTTTTGAGCCCAAGAGTTTGAGGATGCTGTGTACAATGAAGCCACAACATTCTACCCAGGGGGACAGAGTGAGATTCTGTCTCAAAAAAAAAACAAACAAAAACAAACAACAACAAACAAAATAATTCTCTCAAGCTATCAAACATAGTAATTGGGTTTCCTAGCTTAGTTAGACTAGAAATAGCAAATTAGAGGTAGGATAGGTTTCTAGAGGTAAAATGCACTGGTTGAAGTTAGAAGGGAAAGCAGATAGCCTAACAGAGAAAAAGAAATTCTTAAATTCTTTTTCTTTTTCTTTTTTTTTTTTTTGAGACAGAGCCTCAAGCTGTCACCCTCAGTAGAATGCTGTGGCATCACAGCTCACAGCACCCTCAAACTCTTGGGCTTAAGCAATTCTCTTGCCTCAGCCCCCCAAGTAGCTGGGACTATAGGCGCCCGCCACAATGCCTGGCTATTTTTGGTTGTAGTTGTCATTGTTGTTTGGCAGGCGCAGGCTGGATTCGAACCCAGCAGCTCCAGTGTATGTGGCTGGCGCCCTAGCCGCTGAGCTATAGGCGCTGAGCCTAAATTATTTTTTTTTTAAATAAGTTTATTTTATTTTATTTTTGGTCGGGACTGGGTTTGAACCTGCCACCTCTGGCATATGGGATCGGCACCGTACCCTTTTGAGCCACAGGCACTGCCCCAGCCTAAATTCTTAAAACAACACAAAAAGCTTGAGCTGCTGAGACAATGGGCCGACAACTCTCAAAAGCTGTATGCCTTCTCCATATTAATATAGCATGTTTCATAAGCGGATATTCCTAGCGACGGTTCTGATTTTTAAAAAACAAATTAAATATGTTTAGTGTTGTCTCATAAGATAAGAAAATATATTTTGGATGGATTTTTGTCAGTGATGAGTAAGCCTCAGCTAGCAGATGATAGAGGTCATTTCTGGGTAACTCCGGCTGAATGAGCTGTGCTGGCTGCCAACACCAGTTAAAGGCATGCGCTACAAAAGGAAAATGTGAACTTCACTAAGCCTACGCCTACTCTTATTTATCTTATTATTTAATCTATTTGAATTCATCATCCTTAAAAGTACATAGGTAAATCTGATGGGAGCATTTCCCTGCTTTCTGTGAAAGGTAAGCTTTCATTTTATGTATCCTGAGGAGTTCAGCTGACTTTGCAAAGCTGGCGGAATGCACAGGGCTGAGCCATCTGGGCAGAGGCTGGATGAGAAAAAGGGAAAAACAGGCACAAAAGCAAGGCAGCGGCGGGCGCCTGTAGTTCCACCTGCAGACTGAGGCAGGAGGATTGCCTGAGCCCAGGAGTTGGAGGTTGCAATGAACTATGATCATGCCACCATACTCCAGCCTGGGCAACAGAGTGTGATCCTGTCTCAAAAAAAAAGAATAATTATTATTATCAAATAATTAAATTTTTTCAAAAAAGCAAGTTGCTATAAATTACTTTGCTACCTTTGCAAGTGGATCTTGAGCTGAGGTTGCTGGGAGTTTATTAGAGCCAGAGAAGACAGACCTCATTGGAGTTGCCCTCCAGGATAGCTCCTGGGTTTTAAATGGACCAGCTTTTAAGTGGGGTGCCATCTGGTAGGGCCCTTCTATTCTGTCTCAAGAAGGGCGTCAGAGCGTGGCTATCTCACCCTGTGTAGCATAACCTCCATCTCTTGGAGATCATTGCTCTTGCCACTTCCTTTTAGAAGATGTCTACAGAATTAATAATTAAACTGATCCAGGGATAACAGTTTGTTTGTCTTCCCATTATGGAAGAAAATTTCTGGGCTTGGCACCTGTAAGCAGCTGGGGCACTGGCCACATACACCAGAGGCTGGCAGGTTCAAACCCAGTCCAAGCCTGCCAAACAACAATGACAATTACAACCAAAAAATAGCCGGGTGTTGTAGAGGACGCCTGTAGTCCCAGCTACTTGGGAGGCTGAGGCAAGAGAATTGCTTAAGTCCAAGAGTTTGAGGTTGCTGTGAGCTGTGACACCATGGTACTCTACGGAAGATGACATAGTAGACTGTCTCCAAAAAAAAAAAAAGAAAGAAAAAAAAAGGAAAAGGATTTCTCTTGTGATATCATACAATATTTTGATTAATCTTGAGATAACAAATGCTGTGTGTTTGTATTTTGACGTTTAATTGTGAATTTCAACAGGTTTGCTCCTAAATCTCAAAATCTGGAAAGCACCTGATATGACTAAATATTTCGATGACCAAGCTTTCTGGAAGGTAGGTTTTTAAGCTATTCACGGGGTAGGTTTTGAGCACATGAACTTAAAAAGCTATCTGGGGAATCTGTTGACTTGGTGTTTATGAAAGTAAAACAAAACAAAAAAACCAAAATGAAGTAGGGAGCATTGGGGGAGGAGAAAACTCGTGTACACATATGCATGAGTGTGTGCATGTGTGTGTGTTGGTGGGGAGTGGGAGGTGGTTAAGAGTTAGCATCTCCCTGATACCTCAAGTCACCGCAGGTCAGCAAGGAGAGAGCTGCCACTGGCCACATTTCCGCTCCCTATCTGAGGTCGTCAAGTGGGCAAACAGTTGGACGTGAAGGTGAAAGAAACTTATACCGCAAGGAGCAGAAGAAACCTCAGGGCCCCTGAGTCCAACCCCTTATATGACACTTGCTCAAAGTGGAAAAATGACTTGTCTGAGGTCTTGCAGTGAATGAGTGGCTGAGTGAGTCTAGAGAACAGCTCTGGATAACTTAAAACTAGTGGATCAAGCAAACTAGTAGTTTAAGAGACCAGGGTCACTTTGCAAAGACTTTTTTTTTTTTTTTT